GCCTCGGTGGGTCGCTGCTCGGTGCCCGAGGGCCCCTTTCCGGACCACCTGCTGGACGTCAGCGGCACGGGGACCCTGTCCCAGAGCTACCAGTACGAGGTGTGTCTGACGGGAGGCTCCGGGACCAGGGAGTTCAAGTGTCTGAAACCTCTTGTCCCCAACATCATGGGTGAAGGGGTTGGTACGGACACCGAGGAAAACTCGAACTTTAGAAACCATTTGGGGTTCAGTTAAGAATCTCACTTGACAAGACGTGATAAATGATCATATTCACTAATGTATTAATTTCCAACCCTTTCATTCACATAGAGCTTACATATTCACTCATTCGTAAGTTTTGTCATATTTATAGTTTGAAGTATTTTACATTCAGAATCTCTAGGTGTTTTTTATTGTTGCTGTCTTTTTTTTGTTTTAAGCCCTTCACATTTTGCATGTGAGATGAGACATTAAATGGTGAAATGGTCTCAGTTTTTTGGTGGTCAGATTTTCGGAAGTCACAAATGTTTTCAGATTCCTGATATTTGAGCTTGTTCGTTGATATCTTGTTATGACTAACTGAATTATGCTTTACGATTATCATAGCATGTCAGGCTATTGTAAATGATGGCTTTTAGGTTTAAAAATAATTTTCACCTATGCAAAAAATTTTGTGACCTCGAATATCGCTGGATTTCTGTAGTGTTGTTTTGAAAACACTATTGTCTTTCCTCAAATAAACTAATATTTTATCTGGATGTTTTCTGAGTATTCTCTTTTACAAAATTGATATTATTTAGACCGTCTGCCATAATTTAAAAGGACTTAATCCCAGTTAAATAGAAAAAATGTTGGTAGAGTTATGATTTCTTTTTCATAATAAATGGTTTTTAGTATGCAAATAATGATTTTCATTCTTTTAAAATAATATGTAGTCACATGATTCAAACATATTCAATAAGACCAAAAAAGAAAGTGAATTAACACCATGATTCTCCCACTCATGAATAATTATCAATGTCATCATCATTCTAAAGTATTTCTATGATGCTTATAAGTTACTAGCTGGATGGAAATAATTTTATAAAACGAATCTGTAAGAAACTGCTTCTTTATAATTAAAACCATCAGATTTTACTGAAATATAATAAAAATAATATGAAACTATAGAACTTGCTTAAGCTTAGGTAAATATTCCCTATAAGGTTAACAAACAGGAGTATGGTGCATATTAAGATATTAGCAATAATCAACTGCCTGCTGAAAGACAAGCAAATAAACATTCTTACACTTCCTCCTCCCCTCACCTTACTTTATACTTTTGTTATATGTAGTTACCTTAACAATGTTTATAACACTTACAATGTGTTTTAAAAGGATAATCTTCATAATTGTTTAGACATTTTATGTTTCAAATATTTAAGTCGTCATATAACGCTACTTTTTTCAAGCTTATTCAAGTCTGTCCAGAGGTAACAACTTTTGAACCTTTTGTTTTTTTCCCCCATTATATTTGCCTCCATATTTCTAAAGAATATGCTTACAAAATGCTGTTTCTCAAATTTAAGTTTTAGATATTATCCATTTACTTCCAAAGGGCACACACACAAACTTGCACATTTCTTCTACCCCATCCTCTCTCATACCGATATCATTATTCTGTTTAAATAGTGTTTAAATAATTATGACTATGTACATATCACTTAGACCCAAACCTCATATTGCTCTAAGATTTTGTTTCTATTTCTTTACTCTTAAGTTAATAATTGCCTCATTTTCCACTTTACTTTAAAACCCTTAGAAGAAAACAGAGGTGTAAATTTTTCTATGTACATATTTTAAAGTTATCCCCATACTTTCTAAAGTCTAAAGCTCCTCATTGTATTATTAAGCCCATAAAAAAAACCTCTCAGTTCCATTATTTTTTCTTGGAGCTATTGTGGAGCCACCCAGACTCCTGCTCAATTGTACACTATTTTCTCTCTAGACCTACTCCACGGCTGGCAGTTTGGGGTTTGCTATACCCTTCATCCTGGAAATTTCTTTTCTCTCTCTCGTGTGTTTGATTTCATTTTCTGCATTTATTATGTCTTCCTCTTTATTGGTTTACCCCCCTAAATTCCTGAAAAATATTTGGTGACAAATTTATTCAGAACTTGAACATCTGAAAATTTTGGATGCTATAAAATCAAATGTTGATTTGTTGATTTTGTTGGATGTGGAATTATAGGTGAGGAATTATTTGCTACTAGTATTTTGAAGGCATTGCTTCATTGTCTTCTAATCTCCAATGTTGAGATATTCAACATTCTGATTACCCATTTTTTCTGAGACCTATTTTTTTCCTAGATCCCTGGTTCTCAACTGGGGGCAAATTTGCCACCCAGCAACATCTGGTAATGTGTGTAAACGTTTTTGATTGTCACAAGTGGAGGAGCTGGTGCTAGTGGCATCTGGTGGGTAGAGGCCAGGGATGCTGCTAAACATTCTACAATGCACTGGACAGCCCCCTGCCCACAAAGAAGTATATGGCCCCAAATGCCAATAGTGTTGTAGCTGAGAAACCTCGCTCAAGATGAAATTAGGTCATTATATATTACCTCCATTGTTGTAGAATTTCTTAATTACGTGTCATAGTGTAAGAATTTTGTCATTTATTGTGATAAATACCCAATGAGATTTGTCAATCTTGTGTAATGTGTTCTTTAGACTAAGACAGGATTTGGGATTTGTGTGTGTGTGTGTAATTTAAAAAATGATTTCCTCTATTCAGTGTTTTTTGTTTTCTTATTCTGTAACTCTTGTTAGTTGTATAGTGACCTCCTTGGTTGATATTTAATTTTTCTTAACATTTCTCTATTTACTATTTTTGTCTTTATTTCCCTGGATTCTAATAGATTTTCTCAACCTATTTTTTAACACTTCTGATTGAGTTTTAAGCTTTTGCTAGTATAGTTTTCCTCTCAAAAAGCTCTCTTGTTCTCTGAAGGTTCTTTCTATAGCTTTTTAGTTTTTAATTTTTAAATTGAGATGTAATTTACATACCCTAACAGTCACATTTTAAAGCTGTTCAGTGGTTTTTAGTATATTCAAACAGTTGTACAATCATTACCGCTGTCTAATTCCAGAACATTTTCATCACCCTGAAAAGAAAGCTGGTTCCCATTAGTGGTTACTTTCCCTTCTGTCCTCCCTCTAGCCTTCGGCAACCACTAATCAACTTTATGTCTCTATGGATTTGTCTGTTCTGGACATTTTATATAAATGGAATCATACAACATGTAGCCTTTTGGGTCTGTCTTCATTCACTTAGCATGTTTCCAAGGTTCATCCATGTCGTGGCACATATCAATACTTCATTCCTTTTTATGGCCAAATAATATTAATGTGGTATTGATGTACCACATTTTATCAGCTGATGGACATTTGGGTTTGTTTCCACTTTTTCACTATTATGAATAATGCTGCTATGAACATTCATGTACAAGTTTTTATGTGGATGTATGTTTTTGATCCTCTTGGGCATATACCCAGAATTAGAATTGCTAGGTCATAAATACAGTTACTCTGTTTAACTTCTTAAGAAATGTCAAACTGTTTTCCAAAGTAACTGTACCATTTAACATTCCCATTGACAGTGTAGGAGGGTTCCAGTTTCTCCTCACCAACACTTGTTATTTTCTTTTTGATTATAGCTATCCTAGATGGTGTGAAGTAGTATCTCATTGTGGTTTGGTTTGCATTTCCCAGATGGCAAATGATGTTGAGCATCTTTTCATTTGCTTATTGACCATCTGAATATCTTCTTTGGAGAAATATCCACTCAAATGCTTTGCACATTTAAAAATAGGATTTTGGTCTTTTTATTGTTGAGTTGGAGTAGTTCTTTATTCTGGATACTAGACCCTTATTAGACATATGATTTACAAATATTTTCTCCTATTCTGTGGTTTGTCTTTTAAATTTATTGATAGTATCCTTTGAAGCACAAAAGATTTTTTTATTTTAATGAAACCCAATTTATTTATTTTTTTCCTTTGGTTGCTTATTATGCTTTTGGTGTCATATCTAAAACATCATTGCCTAATCCAAAGTCATGAAGATTTACACCTATGTTTTCTTCTAAGGGTTTTATAGTTTTAGCCCTTACACTTAGGTATTTATCAATCAATGGCAGCCTTTTATTGTATCACAGAGACTTGGTCTTTTCTTATACCTCTGAAGATATTAATTTTAATTAATTTTAAGGTTTTTAAAATTTTTCTTCTAATCCTAGCATTTCATTTTTCTTTAGTATTACTTTTATCCTCTCTTTGTTCTCCACTCTCATGTTAGAGACTTTCCTTTTTATGTATTATGCTGCTTGGCTGTTTTTTGTTTTTGTTCTTTTTCCATGAGACAATAAAAAGCTGATTAGGCACTGCATGTTTGGGTGGGACTAGTTGAGTGGTGGATCTCACCTTAGGATAATTAAATAGGAAAAAACATTTTGCTTGGGGACCAAAAGTTAATATCTGTAAATCTCTTCTCTTGGGCCTATGTTGTTTTCCAGAGAAGAATTCAGTAAGAATGGGAGTAGTGGTGGAAGGTATTATAAAGAAGGCACTCAACGCTCTGAGAGCTCGTTGGTTGGAAATGGGGTCTTAATCAGTATGTAGAATTTCTTTAATACTCTTCTCAATAAGGTCTCAGCCCTACTCTCAGTTGTGCTCGTGTCCCTCAGTCCAGCCCTGTCTATATAACATCTACAAATAGTGTACCTCCCATTTCCTGCCACTAAGAGAAAAGGGAGGGCACCTTGCTTCAGTGACTGGGGAAGGAATTCTCAGATACATGTAGTCCTTGTACAGATTTTCAGCCACTGTTGTTTTCAGCCTCTCCTTGGACCCTCAATATGAATCATTACTTTGGCTGGATTTGATTTTCTTATTAATCATACCCACCTGCACCCCTACTTTCTACTCTCATTTGACAACAGAAAAAAGTAAAATCTGTCCATAACCAATTGTCTGTATACTTTGCATCTTCCAAAAATTTTAGTGACTTTTCTCCCCTGCTGTTTATTATTCTATTTTTTTGTCTTCATAGGTTCATTTATGTTAAACCTTTGCTCTCTATTGTTTAAATGAAGTTTCAGGGGGGAATTGAGATAAACTGGTATGCTCAAACCGGAAATGATAATGCCATCCTTACTCTCAGTTATTTTATCCCAGCTTCCCCAAACCTGAATTATTTATAGTGCATCATCTCTTGGTTTACTGGATTTCATCAGGTGTAATCCTTTAGAGAAGAGTTTATAGGTGCTGTATTTCTTGAATTATCACATGCTTGAGAAGTGTTATTTAGCTGGGTATAAAATTCTTCAGTCAGCTTTCTTCAGAGATTTGTTGATACCAAATATTACATTAACCCTTTCATCAGTTTCTCAGTTCATCTATAAACTGACTGAATTTTATCCTTAAGTAGTTTTTTTCAATAAGCACTCATGAATGCTAATGCAATGTTTTATAAATTCTTTCCTGTTTGCTGATTATCTTTGTACTTGAACATCTCGGCTAGGTATAACATTATTGAGCCATAATATCTTTCCCTCAGAGCCCTGAAGACATTTCCATTGTGTTCTGGTATTAAATGTTGATGAGCGGAAGTCTGAGGCTATTTTCTTCATCTGTAGATGACTTGCTTTCTACCCTTGAAATTCACTATCTTTATCAGGTTATGTCTTAATTTTGATACTTCTGTATTATCTTCCCTGAAGCTCAGTGTACCCTTTCAATCTGTTCTGTGCAGCTTCAAGTATGTCACTTATTTACTTATATATGGTAAGTATAAATGGTTTTTAAATCTGTCTGATAGTTCCCACATCTTAAGTTTGTATGGGTCT